AAGAACAACAGGCACATTGCGGCCCAGGGAGCGTATGTGCGGGATCCAATGCGTAGCAACGCGGTCAAAGGTAGGGGGTGAAGCAACAGAGTAGAGAATACATATTACATCCGCTTGTCGAATTTCGTGATCCAGGGCGTCCCGGTTTTCTGGGCGAGCTACCAAGGAAGTCGTGGGTTGTTCCGGTACCAGGTTGCATGGAGTGTGAGGGCAAGTCAGCATGGGTGGTAATCATATAACAACAGACAAACGCCACCATGCAGCTTGGAACCAGCCCACACGTCGCCTGCAGCTCCAATTAAGTCATATGCGTTCACATATTGTGCCCCTCCGAACGCCACTGCGTCGATCCTGTCCACTATTCACATCTCGGCAACAGCCGATCGTTCCACTCCATCCCATCCCCTGCATGATCTCTGCTCGCGAAACCCACAGGATGAGTCCACAATATGTGTTGTGACGTTTTCGGGGGTGACTTCGGGGGGTATTGTTACCTCCGGGACAACATGTTGAATCTGAATGAGGGACGTATGCGGAAGTGTGAGTGCGGTGACGACCCTCGAATGTAAAACGAAATGTCCGATCAAGACTTCTCCTCTCGTATGGAGTGCAGGGGCACGCCATACACGGAGACCAGAAGTCCCAGCCAATGCCATTTCCGGTTGCTACACAGCATCCACCACGGAAACGGTCTTCTAGCGATATGCTAAAGCTATGACACTTGCACACAGATGTGTAGGTGCAGTTCCAGCCCGTTGTTGAAGTCGGTTGTCCCGAGATGATGGTGGCGATCATGTTCAAACAGGGGCAATCCACCCATTTAAACTCCGGCATGATGGGCGCATCACATAATCATGCAGTTGAAACAAAGAGAATCCGGCATCATACCGATGGGTTTCTGTTCATAGTAGCGACTCCACCAATTGGTAATGGAAGGAAGCAGCCGACTTACATTCGGTACAAATGATTCCTTTATGAGCGTGGTGATGAGAGAGCTCTTTCCAACTCCATCTATGACAGCGTAAACGATCGAGAGTGGAAAAAAACGGGGAACGTAGTGGGGGGATTGTTGAAAGGAAGGATCGAAGTGAGCGACAATGAAATCCAGCCCGGAGAGCCCAGACTACCCCACGCAAGCATCCATGAAGATAGGTTAGGTGACAGAGATGAACTTGTCCGCTACGTTACGACTATCATTGTCGTTTGTGTGGGTCCCACAAATCCTCGATAGCTATTACTCCAGCTGACCAAGAATCACACCGGAAGCAGAACTCACCATCCCCTACTAAAAGAATGCGCACGTCACGCCGCATGAACGACCTCGGATCCTCACCGTACCCGTGGATCCTGGTACGATACGTTGCGACGGGGCCGGTTGCACACACAATTGTGCCGGCCGTTACATTCCCGGTGGAAAACCAACTAGTCGAAGTCTATCACCCGCGAATCGGCACGAACTCAATTCCGTAGTACGAAATTTTACAGCTCCATTGGTTTAGATTACATATCGCACAACCAAAAACTTCTCCTAGAATGGTTAGAGAAAAATCGTTTGCTCCCTGCTTCAATAGGTCTCTGCTGTTGTAGGAGTAAAATTGATTTTTGTATGGTTGGTGCAGGGTGCACGCTCTGAAGTGACATAAAGTTGGTTCGCCTTCGTCCTTTGCCCAATCACATCGTCTCCTTCCCCACTCTTCATGCTTCGCGGTGAGTCAATCCGCTTCGCTTTGCTCATCACCCCCTTGTTCCGGGATCTGTGGTTATTTCCCGCTTGCGGGCTGTCGCAGTCTCATGGAATTCAACGGAACCCCATCGCCTGCGCGCATCGGTTTTCGGTCGAGATTACCCAGTCAACGTCTATGAGTATTCTGACTTTGTTCCTAATCATATCCCCGCCCCTCGCTGTCGCCCTTTTCAACTCGAATCAATCCGCAAACAAACCAACTTCTCCACCCGCCCACAACGAATCACACCTTTCTTTCATCACAACGAATTGATCGTTCCACCTGACCATCGTGGTGTTGGTCCTCTTTCCTGCCCTCCCCTATGTGGTTTCCGTCGATGTGTACCCACGTGGTTTCCGCTAATTTTTGGCGCACATCAACTGCTCCTTTCGGGATGATAAATTCTGCTCTACATCTTTCATCACTCTGTCTTCAATTATTATCTTCTGGTGCGACTGAAAACAAAACGATCGACCTGTTCCATTGAACTTCTTGTGGTATTTCGTTCGTTCCTTTGTTTTAACACTCGTTATGTCGTTGGATTTCTTTTCCAATGAAGCAGACACGATGGACTCCCCACGTTCCTCGCTGACGCACCGCCAGGCCCAGTACAAGAACCGCGGCGACCTTCAGGCAGACCAATTACGCCGCCGCCGTGAGGAGGCTGCTGTTGAGATTCGGAAGCAAAAGAGGGAGGAGAGCATTGCGAAGAGACGGAACTTGAGTCAGCTGGCGGGATCTGCAACGGACGAGTCTGAAGATGACGGAGGAATGGCGGATGCGATGCAGGTGAGTAAAGTGCAGGAAGAGAAACTGTCGACTTTTCCCGTTGAGGAATGGCGACTATTATTGCCGAGAAATTACGGCTCCTGGAGTCGATGAGGTCCAGGATTCACGAGAATAACCTTCCGGACGACGAAGGGGTCAGCTGATGAGGACGAAATTTTCTTCGATTATCTGGATTTTGGAGAGATTTTACGATCGCTCTTCTGACTAAGTTCATTGCTTTAGTCATCGAACCAAATCCCCCTTCTTGTTGCTGCCGTAAACTCGGGCTCTGTGGACGATCAGCTCGCTGCGACAGCGAAATTCCGCAAGCTTCTGTCAAAAGAACGCAACCCACCGATCGAGGAAGTGATTGCATCCGGAGTTATCCCGAGGTTCGTGGAGTTTTTGAGAAGCCCGAATTCGCTTCTGCAGGTGAGTTGAGGTGTCAGGCGAAAGAGTCAGGAGGGAATTCGTCGTTCCCGTTAACCTTCTCATCTTCGCCCATGAAACCAACAGTTCGAGGCTGCCTGGGCCCTTACAAATATCGCTTCAGGATCCTCTCAGCAAACAATGGTGGTGATGGAGGCAGGGGCTGTTCCCATTTTCATCGAGCTTCTCCGCTCTCCCGTTCCCGATGTGCGAGAGCAGGCTGTGTGGGCGCTGGGGAACATCGCCGGTGACAGCGCACGATGCAGGGACGCAGTTCTTCAACAGAATGCACTGAGACCTCTCCTTGACATTCTCAACGAGAGTCAAAGCAAGCTCACAATGCTCAGGAACGCAACTTGGACTCTGAGCAACCTTTGCAGGGGCAAGAACCCGCCGCCGGACTGGCAGTTGGCGAGTGTATGGGTTGTTTAGTGTATGAAATGCGCGCTCATATCCATATGTTCTAGATCTCCCCGGCGCTTCTTGTGTTGGCGAAACTCATCTATGCCAATGACGAAGAGATCCTCACCGATTCTTGCTGGGCCATCTCATACCTTTCTGATGGTTCCAATGAGAAGATTCAGGCTGTGATTGAGTCCGGAGTTTCTCGTCGACTCGTGGAGCTACTGTCCCACAACTCTTACACAGTACAGACTCCTGCGCTCAGATCCGTTGGTAACATCGTGACGGGCGACGACATCCAAACCCAGGTCATGCTCAACTGTGGTTGCTTGCAAGCGCTCTCGGCTTTACTTCAGAGTCCCAAAGACGGAATCAGGAAGGAAGCGTGCTGGACTATTTCGAACATCACTGCTGGCAACCCAGTTCAGATCCAGGTACGGAGTAACACCATAACGCAAAGCTTCACAGTGTTCACCGAATCGCGAACCTTTGATAGGCCGTCATTGATGCAAACTTGATCCCACCACTTCTTGACATTCTCCAACATGGCGACTTTAAGTCCAAAAAGGAGGCTTGCTGGGCAATTTCGAACGCAACATCGGGGGGTCTCGCCCGTCCGGATCAAATTCGGTACATTGTGCAGCAAGGGGCGATCAAACCTCTTTGCGACCTCCTTGTTTCCGGAGATAACAAAATTATTCAAGTTGCCTTGGACGGATTGGAAAATGTTCTGAAAGTTGGAGAGCTCGACAAGCCCCAGACGCAGAACGTGAACCAAATGGCGCTGTTCATCGAAGAATGTGGTGGTATGGATAAGATTCACAGCCTGCAGGTGCACGAAAACCTGGATATTTACAAGAAAGCTTACACGATCATCGACAAGGTTTGTCCCACCATTTTCTATGTTCCGTTAGTCCCATTTCTTACTAAGCTGTTACCACGTTTGCGTTGGATTTCCATTTCATAGTACTTCAGCGACGATGAAACGGAAACTGGTATCGAGGCCGAAGTGGATCAAACAACTGGCACCTTCGCGTTCTCAGCTGACGGCCAAGCCGCTCCTCAGGTAATGTGATCTTTGTTGCCACGACCTTACCTCGTCCTCATTCTGTCATTCGCAGGGCGGCTGGACCTTCAACCAGTAAGATTGCAACCAGGAGGATCTCTCTTGAGGGGCTTTGTTGGCGCGAAAACCCACCCTTCCCAGCTTTTCTACAATGTGGACACTACACCGGTCTTCAGCTCTTCTTGACTCACATTCTCTCGTCACCACGAGAGTCCCCCTTTCTTCATCTCCTACCCCGTAGACGCGTAATGAATGCGGAATTCCAATCAGTTGCATTTCACCCATCCCCCACCCATCCCTGCCCTTCTCCCACAAAACCCGTTCTCATGTTGCGCTGCCAAATGTATTGGAGTGTCAAGGCGTTCCTATACTGTAGTGACGCATTGAGATTCAATATACTCTGATGAAATTTGAAAACACGCACCCTTTTGAAAAACATAGTGTAATGGAACGTGAGAAAGTTCAAACGTTTGGACCCTTGACGTCCCCTAGTACGCACGGCACTAAGTCGAGGGGAGAATCGACTCTTTCATTTTGCCGAACTGTAAATGCGACACCAAAATATGATGTCGGCGGCGTTCTTGCAACATTATTTAGCCGCAAAAATGAAGTGCGAGAGGTGGGGTTCGAACCCACGCGCCTTTCGGCATTGGGACTTAAATCCAACGTTTTAGACCACTCAACCACTCTCGCGTACCATTTTCAGAAGTGTTTCATGTTGCATATATAATGGTTAGAAAATAAAATTTTACCTAATCTTATGACAACATCCCTGCTTCTTTCACTCCAATCACGCTTGTATCACCTCAAAGAAAATAAATGTGGATGTCCCCCCAATCACGTAGTTGCGCTTGCCACGACTATGTACAGTTCCCCGCCCTTGCCATGACACGTTGCAGTATCATTTGCATCCTTCCGTGAGCTTTTCGCTCTCCGGTAGTATTTCGTTTGGTGGAAAGTGTTGTGTGTGTTTAGCGTAAATACGGGGCATGCGTATGGTGAGCCATTGGAACACTTCACATTTGATTCGACGCCAGGAAAGACGATGAACAGCAAAAACGCATGAAATCAGACGCAACACACTAATTGGACGAGGAATCGTGTCACAAAAGTCCCAATCACGGAGTGAATCGTATTTCAACTGAAAATCATCGAACCACTCTCATTGGAACACCGACCATCCTGATGGCCAGTCAGCCTACATCTACGGACACCGGGGCGACGAAGCGCCCTCTGGACCTTGCTGAGCTCAAGATGTTGCAACGGAAACGACGCGCCATGTCTGGTATTGGGGGCGGCCCAGTTGCCATGTCCGGAGCAATCAGTGGACCTGGAGAAGGTTCAAGCGGACTATTGAGGGGCTCCCGAGGACTCTCTTCTGGATCGCTTTCTCGGACCCCATCGTTGTCGTCGCTCACAACACCATGTGATGACCCATCTTCACCGTTCTCGCCATTAGCACTTTCAGCTGACCTGAACCCGCGCGGCAAAGAAAATATTTCTGACAATGTGAGTGAATTTGGTTCACGGTGGTGCTGAAGACGGAAGTTTCGTGTGTGAAAATATCCAATTCCACCAATCAGAACTACTTCGCTTCGAAGCCTCCTATGCGACTATCAAGCTCCACTGTCTCGGGGCATGCCCCGAGCACTTTACCCTCTGTCTCAACCTCACTACCACCTCCCCCTGCAGCTGATATCCTAAAATCGGGCGTAACCTCATTCCGGGGCGTCCTGTCTTCCCTCCGCTCGGCGGCATCCTCCTGGTCTGCCTCCCGAGTATCTTCTTCCCTTGTTACTTCATCTGGATCGCTCACTGTTGACAACGACCTCAAGCAACCATCGGTCATGTCCTTTGCGACCCGAAGCTCACGAACGAATATGGCGCGGATAGCGTCCGTGCAAGCCGCCCCTTCAGCGATTTCGAAGCAAACAACCTCGTTGATCCGCCTCTCATCAACATTCAAACCGGGACACTCAACAATGTCCCTTCCATCCACACATCCACTGCCTTCTTCTGCCACCCTCCCCTCGCAGCCCTCGACCCGCTCACGGCCTTCCAACCCCTTCCACTATTCCCCTGACGCTCCCAGGATCCGCCCCGCCTCACACTCCCGCGACCCCTTTGCATATCTTGAATCTATTACCAACTCCCAAGCCGCAGCTGAGGCATCACGAAATCACGATCCTGTTGCAGCCGAGCAAGTACTCGCACACCGGCTTTCTGCCCTTGCTGCCGATGTTGGAGTGGCAGGCATTGCAGTATCGGCGAATGGCGTTGGAGGCGCTGTGAGCCAAGGTGGTGCATCTGCCAGTCAGTATCCGGAGTCGACTTACGTGCCAATCCCTGTTGTGGCAACTCCCCGCCCTGTTGGCAGGCGACGCACTTGGGTCGGAGAGATGCAAAACTCCCCTAGTGGTGCTAACGGATGGTCGCCTGGTGGCGTGAGCGATATGGAGGGCGGAAGCGATGTGGATAGTGGGCGTGGCAGCGATATAGAGGACGATGATGATCTCATTGTGTCAGAGTCACCGCGATTGGCACCATTTCCACTGGCGAAGGAGCGAACCACAGGAGCCTCGCAATCGCTCGTGGAGGGTACGGAATCCAGCAAGGACGAGGTGCTAGAGGGTGAAAAACGGGGGAGGGGAAGTTTGGTGGATGTCTTGAGACGACGTGGGACGTCTGGGGTGAGCAAAAGTGGTTTAGTATTTAAAATAACACACCAACATTCATCTAAAAATCCTTGCAGATCTTGCCTCCTCCTGCACCTCCGTTATCGGAACTTCCCTCTCTTGCGGCCGCGCCTGAAGTTCCTGCCTTCCTCACATCCGCCGAACCCCCCTTGATTCCCCACCTTATTACGCGCTTCGTTATCTCCTCCCCAACTCCATTTGCTCACTTGTTCAACGCCATTCCTCAACCTCGACAATGGGATGCCATTCTGGAGCACGCCCGAACAGCTCTCTCCCTCTCGAACCCCCCACCTCCCCCGACAATCCCCTCCATGCTTCTCCACTACATGCACCATTCCACGTTACCTTCCCCTGCGGTGCCGGTATTTCAGAAAGCGTTTGCAATGGCGAGGCATGGTGTTCCACTTGGGGGGGACGAAGTGGCGGCGGTGAAATGCTGGGCCGAAAAGGAGGGTGAGTGGAGGGAGGCGTGGCAGAGTTGTGTGGGAGCGGTAAGGAGTGGAGACGCAAATGAGGTCTGGTACGTCAACGGGGAATTTGGGGTTGTGATCAGGGGGGGATGGGTTGGGTCGGGCGGTAGTGATGGAGAAGCTGAAGACGAAGATGTGACGGAAACCGGTGGGGATCATAAAGCAACGCGAAAGAAGTGGGATGTGGAAGCGGTCGTTGGGAAGAGCTCAAGGGGTCTTCGTGCGGCAATGAGGCGTGAAGGTGAGCGCCATTTTATATTCCTCGTTTTATCTGCCAGATCATTACAATTCTTTAAACCATCAATACACGTAGGTATTCCATTCATTTCTCTTGGCCCCATTGATGCTTCTGAAACAGACGAGGACCTACGTGGCGCACGTGACCCCATCGAGGATGTAGATTCGCCTTTCCGATCCGGAGATGAGGAGGATTGGGGTGACGGCAAGTGGGACATTGATGGGGAGGAAGAAGTCGATATTCAGGACGCGGACTCGAAGGTGGCAGTGAATGAGACGGAATTGGGTATTCGAGGTGTGAAGAAAGCAAAGCCCAGGCAAGTGTTCGCCTTTTGTCGAATGACGAAGTCAACTTAGAGACTTATAACTCGCACACGGATCCAATGGATCCTGCCGGTCGTCACCACCAGAAATATCAACAACCCTTTGAATCCCCCATTGCTCATCTCTGGTCACTCTGCGGTACACGCGCTCTTCGACTTCCTGCTCACCTGGCGCGATCCCAACGTTGACCGTCGCGCCGCTTTCGGTACTCCTCGGATTGTGACTCGGCACCCTTTCCTCAACGGATCTCTCCGTCGGGTGCGCACTGAGGATCTAGGACGTCGTGCAACAAGAGATGGAGGCTTCGTCTGGAGCTTAGCGGTGGGTGATGTGGGGCCTGGCGCAGGTTGTATGACTCCAGACGTTGTGCGGGGAGTTCTCGAGGTGATGAGTAAGGAGGTTCGGGAGTTTGAGGTTGAGGTAGTGGGTGTTGAGGCGGTTGTGCAAGGGCTCGTTGGTGTAAAGGGAAATTTGGGTCGGATTGGTGGTGTAGAACTGGCAGGAAGCGGTGTTAGGAACATTCGTTGGGATTTCGGGGAGTTCAAGTGGGCAAGTGAATGATAAGTGACTTATGTGTTCTCACAAGTGGGACGGACAACATCATCAAATGCATTGCTGTATTATGTGTAGAAATGATCGCTTTTGCTCGAAAAAGTGTGCACTGGGTATAATCAAGTTGGGGTTCTGTACAATCATCCTTCACCCTCTTTTCCAATTGCCACTTAAGCTGTCAAGAGAATGCTTGGCTCTGCGCACTTAGTGAGTTACTCTGCCGCAGGTCCTTGGACGCTGTGACACAGGCTGCGAGGGCAGGTGCCAGCCTCGTAGCGTATCCCCAATGTTTGCCAAACCTTGCAATACTGTCAGAGTTCCATTTGCACCGCACGAGCAAAGTAACTATCTCACCCTTCAAGAGCTCGAATCACGATATCCATTTGGGCGTCGATATCGTGGACCGGCCCGTTAATCGTATGAATTTCCAGGAGATCACATGCGATAAAATAGGCAGAGTAACCAGCAAGGGGATTTCCCAACTCGATCCAAGGCCAGTTAACTTGCAAACAAGAGTCAACGCACGTCTTTCTGCATCCCCCAAATTAACCACAAAAACGTTACATCCTGATACGACTTCATGGAGTATAACGACAAAACCTACATCAGCTGTATCGCCTCGATTGCGTTTGCTTGCCTCAACGTGGACTCGCTTTTTGGTAAAACGAGTCCCAAAAGAGAATGGAAGGCCATTCGACTGCAAATTGCTCGACCCGTAAAGGCGTAAAATGAGATGTTGGTATCTAGCACATTAGAGCTCGGACCGTTCGAGATTCCAATATTCCCATTATTGAGTACGGATACGGCATTGGCGGGCAGAGGATTGATCGTTGGAAAGAATTGTGGGTTCTCTGATGATGCAAAGAAATGGTTACAACACGAAAAAACGCAAGGACCTCCAAGTTTGAACATACTCGCGCGAAAACTTTCCAGCTCTTGTCGGATTATTTCTTTGGACGTGAATTTGACCGGATCACAAGTGGAGCCATCAGGGACTCTCCGACTCATGTCACCAGTGCTATCGACAAGAGCAGCACGTTCTCCCAAGGTTAAATTGCCGGCCATGCCAGACATTTCCGCCAAAAATGATAGCCCGGCGCTCGTGCCACCAATCTGGTACGGATTCCATTCTCGATTTAACGAAGTTGGAGGCACTATGACCATGCTCGTTGGGACCAATACACTGCGCTTCAACAAAGACGCAAAAAACCCGTCCAGTTGCCTGAGAGACAGCAGTGTCCTCCTCCGTTCCTCCACGCGGATCCACGGCAAACTTCCTACTTTTGCCGGAAACGCGGCCTGGACGTCGAGTCCCAGTGATCGCGCCATGGCAATGGCGGCTCCCAAGAAGTTGTCCGCTGACCGTGCTCTCGTGTTGGCGCCCAACATGAATCCGAAGGCAAAGTGTATGAGA